ATTATTGCTGTTTGCAAAATAGTTGGCGGGGCGCTAAATGTTCAGGACCAAATAAATACCAATGAGTTTTTGCCTGTTCACACACGAAATACGAACGTTGAGCGCATGATCTTATGCTCAAAATGATCGCACGGACGAGCTAAATCGACCTATAAAACCAGAATTTCGAAATTCGAAGTTTCAAAAGTCGACCCCCCTGAAGCTTTTTGGCCTCTTCACGCCGCAACCAGACCGTGTATCGGCAAGCGACAAGTATAGAAATACTCGCAAGAACTGTGCGAACAGTTCTATAAAAAGAAATACCCAAAGAGGCCACGTTACGATGAGTTTACGTCTAACTTATTCCCAAAGTACTCACGTGGCTTCCCACACCTTGCTCTCTGCTACGATGCGTGGAAAAAAGATTTCCGAGAACTTGCGCTGGGCTGTTGTGCGATTGGCGAGCTGTGGATTCACTTATGAGTCTATTGAGACATATCTAGGTGTATCTGTAAGGTCGAGCGAGCGAATTTTGGCTATTTATCATGCTTCGGGTGGGGAGCGGGTCAGTCTAGATATCACTGGGCGTGACCTTCGAGGAAGACCTAATAGCTTGTCGTTTCGGGAGATATGGGTAAGTCAGAACATCAATTCCCATGAATTCGTGGCTTACACTTAGCTTGTAAACAGTTCATTTGTGAGCGTATCACAAACAACCCCGACACCTTTCTTGACGAGCTCAGGGAAGAGCTTTCCGAAGTGTGCGGTGTCAACGTCTCTCTAGGCACTGTATGGCGAACGCTACATGAGTCTGGATTTACGATAAAAAAGGTCAGGAAGGAACAAACCACTTGACATTGAGCCGTCACTAAAGGCAACCAGCTTGAACGGCGGGCACTGGAACGTTGTGATGTGAAACGATTGGAGTTTCAGCATGCCGTGTCTGAATACCCCTCAAACTACCTTGTGTTTGTTGACGAGTGTTCCTGCGATCGCCGTACGACATATCGTGGTCACGGTTGGGCACTTTCAGGTGAACGTGCAGTGCAGAAAGCATTTTTTGTTCGTGGACAACGGTGAGTATTTTCCGAGGATACAGACTCATGAAACTCACATTTGGTAGGTACTCACTTCTGCCAGCACTCTCTAGCAGTGGCATGCTCGCGTTACGTGTTGTGAAGGGCTCATTTACTGCAGAAACATATCGAGACTTCATTGAGCTCACCCTCGCCTTCATGAATCCATACCCGGGCCCAAACTCTGTGCTTGTGATGGACAATGCTCGAATCCACCATAACCAGGAGACTCTGGATATGATTGAAGCACAGTAAGCCTTTCTCTTTATATGATGGCAAATGTACTCACAGCTTGACCAGTGGGATGAGATACCTATTCCTTCCCCCCTACTCACCCGACTATAATCCCATTGAGCTTGCCTTCTCAGCTATAAAAAACCGAATGCGCCGTGATGGTGAGATGATACGGATGACACTTCAAGCAGGTGGAGATGAGGATGAGGTTCGGGCAAAGTTCTATGAACATGTATTCGCAACTACGGAGGAGGATGCACGTGGATGGTTTGAGTACTGTGGTTATGCATAGATGTAGATACACGAAGAGTGGTGCAATTAGGAGATGTAAACATTGGGACTATGAAGAAGAAAGATGTATGTGCTCAAGTAATTAGGAGTCGGATAAGGGAGTAAAGAATTGGTGGCAAAATGAACTCAAACCGAGAACGAAAGAAATAAAAATGGATAGCAATAATATGATCTCTTACTGGTAGTCAGCTTTCGCATAATCAAGCAGCCGGGCTGCGGTTCCAAATGGCATCCTAGGTTCGTGCTCTGAAACCGCCTCCCTAAGGGCATCTGGTGTAGCAAACCGAGCAATATCCGAGACTCGAGTAAGACGACAGTGGTTGAAGTGTGGCAAGAATGATTGGAACTGATGTCCATCAGCTCCCCGCATTGCATGAGAGTCGCATTGAGCAAGCCATTCGGACAAGAGGGGATCAGCAGGTAGCTGTGAATGAGGGGTGGGATTGGGTGCTGGGAATACTCCGTAAGGATGTGGTGGAGCTCCTGCTGGGGGAGGAGGCGGGTAGTAGGGTGGCCAGCCTGGGAAAAACATTGGTTGATATTGGAGGGGGAAAGCAGGTGCCGCCACGGGCGCTTGTGCAGCTACGGCAGATGCATTCCGAACCTCTGATCCAGCCTCTCCCCCACCCACTTCCTCATCACTAGGACGATCTTGGAGCTTCAAACAGCGAGGAGGCGAATATATAGTTACCTCCACCTTCTTCTCTGCCTGCACAAACATGGTGAGATGATATCAACCAGCCAGAGCTACGACGTATAAACTTACCAACATCTCAGCCCAAAGAAGAAGGTCAGAACGTTCGAGTCGAACATGGCGGCCAGCCTGGCCAGTTGCACCTGGGATGACTGCACAGTGACGGCGATGGGTAGTGCAAAAGCGCTTGCGCTTTAGGTTTTCGAACCATGTAAGAGTTTGTCCGGAAAGCTTCTTTTCACTCTCGTCTACATCGTCGGCGTCACTCCCCTTGGATGTGATTATTTTCTAGCAGAGCAAGCCACAATTCAGCTATGGCCAAACATGTGCAGTTCGGTACACCTCACCTTATCCTTCGAACCCTTCTTTCCTTTCTTCGAATCGTTGCCTTTCTTCGAGTCGTTGTTGCATGTAAGGACTGCAAGTCGAATGATGTAGTCCTCAATGGGTGCAGCCTTCTTTTTACTTGGTGCACCTCGTTTTCCCTTTGCATTCTTGGCGGCTTCCTCGAGTTCGTGTGTTTCCTTCTCGTATCGGTCTTGTTCTTCTTCATTCGCCTCGACCACAGTATTGACCATCTCCCAGTAGTCTTCAACATTTTCGACAACACGAGGGGTAAGCTTGCCTTTTAGATCCTTCCGTTTACCGATTGAGTATCCTAGCTGCAGGTCTTCACGCTCGAGGATACCAGCAATCTCGTGACAAAACCTCCAATAGCTGGCATCAGATGGGAGCTTTAGCACTCGCATCCCACCGAGTCGTGGGACCTCGTACTCCAAAACAATCTGGCCTAAAGAACAGGTAAGTCGCTGCAGACAGAGTTTGTCTTGACATAAACGACTTACGGCCACATTTCTTCCTTTTGTTGGTCGCTACTTCGCAATCCTTCTCTTCACTCTCCCCATCTCGGTTCCATGCATCCTCGTCCTCACTATCCTCCTTGTTGTTCGATTTTACCTGAGACTTAGGGGCAGAACTTCTAAACGACCCGAGGGTTGACTTGGTTTTTGTTGGTGCTTGGCTTGGCTCACTCGAGGATAGGGTAAGCTCCTTTGAGTCTTCTATGGCCACCTTGAACACACTGGTCTTGGTGGGGTGCTCTGCTGTATTGAGAGGTGAGCCGAGATCAAATGACAGGATAGACGTAAAAATACGAGACTTACAACCCTTAGTGTCAGGCAAAGTATTCTTTGGGCGATCAATTGGTTCAGCTGTATCAGTCTCATCCAACACCATCACATCCGAGTCTGAGAAGACATCTCTACTCTCCGGTACGCCAATATCTGGTGTGTGCTCGGTACTGATGGTGGGGTTGGTCTCTGTTGCCACAGGCTTCGAGTCAGGAGCATCCAACACTGGATTTGACTTCACTGCCAAACGCTCAGTGTCTCTACATCATATATGATTGTTAGCCTGCATTCACCAACAATGATCCGTCTGCATGGTAATACATACCTTTCTGGCATCACAATGAGTTTGGCGCTTGGTGGTAGCTCGATTGGCGAAGGCTGGTCTGGCTCGGGATTGGATTCATTCTCTGGCTGTGGAAGACGAAGCTTTGGGCGAGGACGAGGGTGAGGAGGCAAGGCTTCAGGTGCAGAAGTACTGCCAGTGAGCGTTGAACCTCTAGTCGTGATCGTACCCGAACGGACTCGCTTCCCAGTCGCTGGCGGTGTCTCGCCTTCGGGCTCTCCATCAAGAGTGCGTTTTTTGTTGGCTTGGCGATCTGAACGGCGTACAGCAAGAGCCTCGCGTCCAGCAGAACCTTTCTTTTTGCCTCGATAAGCCATTGGAAGGGGTAGAACTGGTAAGAGCACTTTGTTTCGTGTGCTTTTGTCAATCACAAACACTTATGTAATCTGTTTCACCAAACGTTTGCGAGTTGCCTTGGCCTGGCGATCCAGATCCTGCACAAGTAGTTTGTGGGTCATTTTGTGTATATAGCTGGTCGTAATCTACTATTTCAGTATACCAAGGGCTATAGTGCCAACATAACAACTATAAACAAGAATCTTGAACCCGGGCGGTCCTCCTTCGCTTGAGATTGCGTGAGGGTACAAACCTATCGAATCAAGGCCTTTCTGGTTAGTTCTTTTTATGGAACTGTTTGTACAGCTCTTGCGAGTATTCCTATACTTTTCGCTTGTCGATACACGGTCTGGTTCCGGCGTGAAGAGGCCAAAAAGCTTCAGGGGGGGTCGACTTTTGAAACTTCGAATTTCGAAATTCTGGTTTTATAGGTCGATTTAGCTCGTCCGTGCGATCATTTTGAGCATAAGATCATGCGCTCAACGTTCGTATTTCGTGTGTGAACAGGCAAAAACTCATTGGTATTTATTTGGTCCTGAACATTTAGCGCCCCGCCAACTATTTTGCAAACAGCAATAAAGCCTACCAATAAAATGGCGACCTGCGGCTTACCAGAGCGAATATGTAATCTAGGCTTCATAATGGGTCGGTAGGCGTATGGAGGCACGTTCAACGTGATCCCTGGGGGCCGTCCATGTGGGCTGCGCCTGCATCACAGAGTAAATGTTCCGAGTGTCCTCCCTTGTACAACTACACTAGCTTGATGAAAATATTGTATAATTTCAGCGCTAGTCTCCTAGCAGCATGCCTATGGCGAAGCTCCAGACTGCTGGCTCCCACATCCAGTAGGCCATTCAGACTGAAGCTTACCAAGCGAAAGTAGAACGGTCATATATGCTGGGGCTTATCTGAAATAAACGTCCATGGTGAAGTGGTTATCATGCTTGCCTTCCATTGTGAATGTCAGCAAGCGGCACGGGTTCGATTCCCGTTGGGCGTAGTAGATTTTTCTAATTCTTTTTTTGCGGCCTGGGTGTGAGGGTTGGATGGCTTGGCAAGACTAGGAGCTCAATTGAGGCTTCTTTCATTCGGGTAGACCGGCAAAAGCTGGAATTCGACACTTGATTCACGCGGGGTTGTTTATCTGGCTATCTAATCCGACATGCGTCTACAACTAACAGTGTGACTACATTCCAGCTGGTGCAACACCAAGGCGTTGTACATACATTAGTCTACATGAATCATGCAGCTACAAACAGGCGTCGCAACTAGCCCAGGAGACGGTGAATCTGAACAACTATATAGTGTGGGAAAATAAAGAGCATTGTTCGTGGAAGCGGATGAAATTAAACGGGTTGGTAGCCGGATTCTCGATTCTCGTGAGAGCAGAGCCAAATTTTCGCTTGGTTTAGTCGGTGACGACGAGGGAGCCGCGGGCGCCGTCCCCACGACGCATGGAGCGGACTGCGCATACGATGACTACAAATATGGCAAAGGTGCATAGAATCCTAGGAGCCCTCGCCTCAGTTGAAGTTCAAACCATATACAAGGAAAAGACTTGCCACTCGACCCATGCGAATCCTTCCAGCGCGTTCAGCTGGTTGCAATATACGACTTCCTCCTGGACTCGTCTAGATAACATGACAGCATGAATTAAGGTGTGATGACGTAATCGTGGATGACGTACGAGCAATTGGTCCCGCCACCGAGCGCTTTTCGGGAGATATCAGTACTCAGCCAATACGATTTCAGCAGTTCCTAACCTGCGGTAATTGATGCGGCGCCGGCAACCCATAGAACCCAAGTTATGCCTGAGCCAGCGTGTCAACACGGCGCCCACGAAGATGAAATGGGAGGAAGCATCTCACCGAGGAAGAGCAAGTGAACAAGGACACTCGTGGCCATGCTGCCTGTTGGCGAGCGCATAAACAAGAAGAGTAGGATTGCTATTGGATTAGCGAGATGTCAGGCTTCATAGTAGCGATGTGTCAATGCAAAAATCCCACAGCAGAAAAGTACGGTCCACCAGCTGGTGAATGTGAGGAGGCGAGTGCGGTCCCTCACAGAGAGGTCGAGATAGTTGTGGTGCTGGTTGAACCTAGTAGTGAGCCATGTTGCGATTGCACCCTGCAAGGTCACGTTTAGCACCGTTCTCGGTGGAGAGTCACACATACGACACACCTCGATGATGCCAAAGAATATCAAAAGGCCAAATGTGACTGAAGAGGTGGATGTCAGTCACCAACGAGGCGAAAGCAGAGTTGGTACAGTGCTCACTGGGGTGGCCGCGGCGAATGTGTTTATCGAGAGTCATGGTGCTGTGGTGGTAGCTGTCTGGAGGCTGGCCGCCGAGCTCAGCCGAACTGAGAACACAAATCGTGAGACAATTTACCACGTGATCACGGCGCTCCGTGGGATGTCATTTCTAATTCCGTCGATCGTTGGCTGTCTCAATGAGCTTCCGTTCGACGCTAGCGCGGCTCAAGAACGCTGCACACGTCCCTCACACGCCCAATGCCCCTTTGGAGCTAGACCCTGCACTCAGTCAACTATTGCACGACACAAACTTGTCCCTGCTCCGCAAATTTCGGCATGGGTCTAAACACTATGTAGAACGTGCTGAGCTCGAGGTCGAGAGCGGACCCAACGCGCTTGAGAACCCCCCTCCAGAATTTGAAGGCTACGAAGTTGTGGAACGCGACCTTGTCGGATGGAATGGCGAGGATAGGGAGGTTTGGGATGAGCCTCGGGATGAGCGAAGGTCGCCTGCCGCAATATACGGTACAAAGCACGTCGGAATGGTGGTTTTGCCTTGGGAACTCGAACACGCAGTGGAAAAGGTTATAGGAGGTAGGCTGCTGCTTGTAATAAGCCTGATCGCTGATTTATCTCGTTGATAGAGTCCAACAAGCACCAACTTCGCTCCGATGCCAAACGGCTATTTTTCCATCCCAGTTCGCCTAGCACACAACCCGCAGGTTCAAGTTCAAGACCTTCTAAAGATCCTCGGAAGCTAGCGGAATTCCGGACCTCGAATCGCCCGTCAGAGTGGCAGCTTTCGTCGCCTAATGCTGCTTCGCTTTCCTTCAGCGCGAAAGGTTCGAACGGCCAATCAAAATTTGCCATTTACATTCGTACAGCTAATTTTACGTATTTGTGCTAAGGCAACTACAAAACTGCAGTCCACCTTGGCCCTCGGGAGGGTCTAGCCTTTGTTACCATTGCAATGCCCGCGCACTATGCTGCTACGGCAAACGTGTTCCGCGAAATCGCACGACGTATGACTGGACCAGGACTGGGAGAAGATAGGATCGAGACGGTCATCGATTTCGGAGGCAAGTCGGGGCAGGGTCTATGGTATGTCTGCTAGGTATTGTACCGCCCCACGTAAGATTATAACACTCCGCAGGGCATCGCTTGTAGCATTTCGTGAACCCGTTCCGCCTCCTGAACCCGCTCCCGCGTCTTCATCCACTCCACCTGACGGAAATGCAAACCCTGAATCATGGACACCAATATCCGCGTCTCCACATCACCCACGGGTTGGGCCGTCCTTCACTCCATCTTCTTATACGCCTCCAATTCCAAGTTCAGTAATCGAGAGGCTTAGGTCAGAAGCTCCGGAGGGTATTGCAAAAGGCGAAGAGTCCTGGACAGCATCTACGGTCAAAAAGTATATACTCCTTGATTCGAGGCGTGGAATGACCGAGCTTGCGAGGCGGTTCGTGAAGGGAACCGACCTAGGAGGATGTGAGATTCTTTATCAGGATTTCTGGGGAAAGGTATGAAATCTACGCGCACACCACATTGACTCTTTCCAACCCAATTCTCCAGAATACTCAGCTCGCTGTACCTAAACGCTCGCTTGCCCTTTGTGCGTTTACACTCTCGGAACTTCCAAATGGCACGTCGCGCAAACGAATGGTCGCTGAAATGTGGGAATCGGGCGCCGAGTGGATGGTGAGCCCGGCCAGAGCTAAAAACGATTCCAAGGTTAACTGCGGTCACTGCAGGTAATCATTGACCATGGCACACCCGCTGGATTCGACAATGTCGCCCGGGCAAGGGAGCTGCTCCTCGGGCTAGGGCGTTGCGAGCTGGAAGCGCGCGCCAAGGACCCGCTCATCGAACAAGGCGCTCGAGGAAGTCACGTTGTCGCACCTGTGCGCCTTGTTCACTTTTGCTTGCCTTTACACCCCTAACACAGAACTTGATACGCCGCGCATTAAACCAGTGCCCTCACTCACATGCGTGTCCTTTGCACAGCTCGCCCCACACACGCGACGTTTGTCATTTCACTCAGCGCATACAGACACCACCGTTCTTACGCCACACCAAACATTCGCAAGAGGGGCACGAAGACGTGGAGTATTCCTATGTGGTGGTACGGCGGGGCCAGGTGAGTGTTTGAGGAGTGTTCAACGCTGTTTGACCGGGTTTGCACTACCATGCTGATGTGTATGACCTAGGCTCCAAATATCCACGCGAGCCAACGATATGGGAGTCTTATTGCGCATGGTCTCATTGGTGCAGCTGGACGTGAAGAAGCCGAAAAGATTCGACTCGACTTTGAGAACGGCAAAGCTAAGCAGAAGGGGAAAAGGAAGCTAAGCGGCCGTACGGTCCTAGAGGTAGGAGAGGATGGTGTGTGGGATAGCTCAGATCCAGATCTTCCCGACGCGAGTCAACCTTCTCCAAACGAGTCAGCTCCACCACCTGAAATAGAACACATTTCCGAAGAGTCCGCGATGCGGAGCGCAATCGGAACGTGGCCCCGGATTGTGTACCCTCCAATGAAGCGTAGCGGACACGTCATACTTGACACCTGCACGCACCAGGGTATGTTCGATCAAGCGCTCAGTTAACTCTATCATTTCCCTCCCCCTTCCAACGAACATTGACTCGAATTGACGCCCATTTATCATTTCTCACTTCGGCCATGATACCCGCCCCCTATCCTCCCATCTCTGAAATAATCACCCTCTTTCACGGAATTCACCCTTTTTTTCCGCCCGCAGGCTCGATCGCACGCATAACGATTCCCAAGTCACAGGGCAAGCAGGCTTATTATGATGCACGAAAAGCGAGCTGGGGAGATGCGTTTCCGCACGCACCACGTATCACACCGCAGATTCGGACCAGGGGGATTCGGAAACTTGGTCCTTTCGTGCCGAACGATGCAGCAGAAAAGGAGGACGAAATGAAGCAGGCAAAGGGCAAGGAAAATTCGAAAGGGAAAGGTCCACAAGAAGCGGGGAGCCACGACGAGGAGACTGATTCTGGAGATTGGATCAATGCCGAGGCGGGCAAGCTTGCGCTTGAGATTCAGGCGAAAGTGGAGCGGGACGAGGCGAAGCGACTGCTTCAGCCGTAGTCGGCATCTTGACATTGTCCGGTATTGAACTACTGCGTATATTTATCTTCACACAACCCCCGATCTCACCCGTCACTCGATTCATAGACATAGGCCTTGCCGCAGCTTGCTGTGTACCGTAGCCACCCCAGATTTTTGTATATCATCAAAATGTCAATCCCAACTTTGAATTCGGCAAGATACATACCACAATAAGACATTTATTTTTCAAATACTACCGATCGGATAGCGAACGAAGGAGCTTTACTTGTATGGTGTATAGCCAACGTCCGATAATTCAATACCTGGACCACGCGTCGAACTGAGGTAGACTTGGAGTATAGTCGAGGCTGGAAAGCAGCCAAATATGTGAGCACCCTCAAACGAGGTGAACGGAGCAGTACAGCGGATGAAAGACGGGGGTGCAACACACTTACCAGCCTTTTGGCGATTCGCGAATGCTTCATCCTCGGGCTTCATTGCATCGCGTACAGCTTGCAAAAACGTCCGGACGTTCTTCTCTACCTCTTCGACTGGGAAATGAATCTGCCCAACAATTCCAGTGCCCGGACACTGAAAGGGAAAGCGAAACACTCACCCGTCCAACTGCAGCGCGTACATATCCTAATTTGTCGCTCTTCCAGTCG